CAGCCCAACATGGCTCCCGCCGCCCCGCCCCGCGCCGCGCCCCCGCCGCCATGTTGAGGGCGGCCGCCCTCATGGGCGCGCTCCGTGGAGCCGGGGCTCGCGGTGCCGCCTCCGCCCGGGCCGCCCCTCCGCCTCCCGCGCGGCCCGGCGGGACCCGAGCTGCGGCCGGCGGAGCCCGCGAGCCGCGGCGGAGCGGCGCGGAGCCGAGCCCCGGCAGCCCCGGGCCCCGGGCAGCTCCCGGCGGGAGCAGCACTGGTGTCCACGCTCCTGCGGCTCCTCGTGGGGCTCCACACGCGTGGGAGAGGCCTGCTGCTGAGGCTGGACCCCCTGGGTCCCCCTGGATGCCCCTGCCCCGGCACAGGGAGGCAGATGGCCCCGGCGGTGCCGGTGCCCGGTGGCACGGCGGGGTTGCAGCCCCCGCTAACAGCGCAGTGGGGGGTCCCCAACCCTCCCCTGTGCGAAGGGGACCCACAGCAGCCCCCCTGTGGGGAGAAGGACACACGGGATAAAGGCACAGGGTGCTTTTCAACATTGGTACAAAAAAATCCCCTTTTCCAAGCAAACTGCAGCTTGGGGCCTGTCCTCGGGACGGTTCATGAGCACACCAGCCTTGCAGCTGAGCTGCTGGTTTGATCCCAACTACTATCACTGTCTAATCCAGTGGAGCCTGTAATAGGCTTAGGGATAAGAGGGGCTCCATGCTCATTAGTGCCGGGGGAGGCTCCCGCTCTGCCCCTCGCCCGGAGCCCCGGTGCTCGGTGACCTGGCACCGCTGCCAGCTGCACCACGCTGCCCGCCATGCAGCAGATGCCCCCGGCAGCTATGGTTCAGGGAGGCGAAGGGTGAGTGTCCTGGTGTCCCCCACACCATCCTTGTGGCTGCTGTGTTGGGCCAGCATGACCCTCCCGCCACCTTCACCCACACCGAGGGGGTGCCTGGTCACCCCGGGGGCAGCAGGTCTTTTGTTCCTTCCCCTGCTGTCCCCTCTGCCCGGGACCGGCCTAGGCTGAGCACAGCTTGGTGCCGCCTCGCAGAATGCCAGGTGCCCCAAAGCGGCGGCCGGTGCGTCCCGGCATGCGCCATCCAGGAGCCCGCGTGATGCTGAGAGCCGTGGGGCACGTGCCTGAGCCTCCAAGAAGCTGGCACGTGGATTTATAAACTCCAGAGGATCCCCGGAGATGGGACAGCCGGGCACAGAGGGGTTGGGACCGGGCTGCTGCCCTCTCTCTGCGCTGCCCCAGGCAGCCGCACGGAGCGCCCCGCGAGGCGGCAGCCGCAGCCAGCGCCGGTTCGTTAGCGCTCGATACAGCCCATTAGGCCCTGCAGCGCAGGCCGGGGCTCGGCCGCGGCGCCGGGAGCAGCTGAGGCTGCGCACGGAGCGGGCAGGGAAGCACCACGGCCTCCGGCGCTGCTCTGCGCTGCGGCCCGAGCAGAGGCGCCCGCGAGGCCCCCGGCTGCAGCGGTGCCCCCCCAGCTCCCGCGCTGCCCCCCGCGCTGGGCAGCAGCACCGCCCCAGGACGAGGCGTGCAGAGGGACCCGCGCTGCCGGGACTGGGAAAGCGGGCACAGGGAGAGCCGAGGCCGCCGCACGGGGACCAGCACCCTGCATCCAGCCCATGCAGACACCCGCACCCCGTGCCCAGCCTGCACAAGGACCTGCACCCCACGCTCATCCCATGCTGGGACCCGCACCCTGCCCTTTGCCCACCCAGGAACCTGCACCCCGCACCCGGCCTGTGTGCCCAGCACCTGCCCAGGCACCCGTGGGGCCCCGTGTGGCCAGAGTGGCAGGCAGCACTATGCTCAGAGAAACCCCGTTTACCACGTTTTTATTCCTCTGCAGGTTACACTTAGTATTTAAGAAAATACAGGATCCCTTCTGACATTCATACATTTTTACAGGGAAAAAATAGGTTTCTCTACGAGGGTGGTTATTAAGCTGTAGGTGTTCCCAGGCTCACCTGGGGGTGTCCCCCCCCCGGCTGCCAGGCCCCCATTCCTGCCCCATGCCCAGGGCTCAGGAGCCCGCCCCTCAAGCTGGGGGCACCGTGGCCCTAGTGCCACCATTTCCAGTTCCACTTCCCACTGGCTCCTACGCAGGATACTGCAAGGGAGCAGCCGGGCCCAGCGAGGGACGGGACTGCGCACAGGAATAGCTAGTTGATGCACGTTAGCTGGGGGCTGTATCGGTTACGAGGAAGCGGGTTAGTCCTGTTTGCTAGAAACCTACAAGAGACAGCAAGGGTTCCCCACACTCGTGCATTGTCACGACAGAGCTACTGGACACGAGGCTCAGGCTGCCACGCGCAGGGAAGGGCGGCGAGGCCGAGCAGCAACACCGCTGCCCGCGGTGCCGAGCGAGCCCCGGTGCCGCCGCGCAGGGCAGCGCATGCCGCGGCCGCTTCCCCATGGCTGCAGCGCCCGGGAAGCGCCGGCTCCGGGCGAGAAACTCGGCTTTAAACGTCACTACGGCAAGCGGACTGAAGCAGCAGCTGCTGCGAGAGGCCCTCTAAGGCCGAGGCGGACGAGAGGCGGAGGGCGCGCGGCTCCCGGCAAGGCGGCCGCGAGCGAGCTGCCTCCCTCGGCGGGCTGCAGCACATCGGCACGAGCAGCAGCGGACGAAACGGATGTTACGGAAGCTTCTTCCAAGCACCAGCAGACGCCACTTGGTCACGGCAGGGAGAGATGCACATGGAAAAGAACTGATACCCTAAGGCAAAGGCCTCTCGCTCCAGCACCCCGGGAGAGCGGCGCCGCTAAAGGCAGCCCCCCGAGCGCCCAGTCCCTCATCACAAGCTCTGTGCCCTTCTGCCAGCACCAGCGGGTCAAACACCCTCCTGCCCCAGGTGCTGAGGGCCAACATGGAGCTGGCACCCAGGCCCGCTCTGCCAGCGCTGATGTCCCCAGCGCAGCAGCCCCAGGGACACCCCTTGTCCCTCCTGCTGCTGGCGTTTCTCAAGGGCCACAAACCTGTCCGAACCTTAGGCCTCGCACGGAGGAATATAAGGTATGAGCTGTACTGGGAGGGAACGGGGGAAGGTGTCAACAAGAGACGTCTTCGATCCAAGTGGTTGGAGCTCCAGTCCGAGGCGAGGAGCAGTTAGCTGGTACCCGGAGAGATCTCTGGAAACTCTTTATACATTTCCAAGATGATCAGTTTGTCCATCTGGCACTGCTGCCCCTCGTCCTCCTCTCCGAGGATGCGCTGCAGGATGCCCTGCAGGTCGGCGAGGCGGTGCTGGTGCTGCAGGTACGGCGTGGAGCGGATGATGGCGTGCATCAGAGACAGGTACTCCATCCTCAGCTGCCAGGCGAGGGGACACACAACACAGAGCACAATGAAATATTCCAAGCGAGCTAGAGAGCATGCCAGCCTCCACTGGAGCACGAGCAGGACCAGCTGCTGCTGCGCGACCAGCCAGGGAGCAGCTCCAAAGGCACCCGCTCTTCCTGAACATTCATTAGCAGCTATGGATACTGCACTTCTCCCAAAGCCACTAATCCTCTTCCCTCCCTGCTCCCACTTAACTGTTTGCCCTGCCCCTTGCAGCACCCAAACCAAGAGATCCCCCTTGTCACCCCTGTCCTCACAGTGTCCCTTTATCATGAAGGTCCCTGCAGAGAGGGCTGCAGCCCCCATAAGCCTGGCAGATCTTCCTCCAAACACTTTTCTACTGCTGTGTGCCAAGGCAGGATAAATCTCCTCTTCCTCCTCCCCCCCCCAAGGAGGATTTGGGCACCCCGAAGTGTCCTGCCCATCCCAGGCTCCAGTCTTGCCCGCACCAAGCAGGGCCCATGGAGAGCCAGGCTGCTTTGGGCATTGCTCCTTTCGGGAGCGTCAGCGAGCGCGGGGGTCCCTGCGAGCACCTTGTCCCCAGGGGAGAGGTCGGCGATCTGCCGCACCAGGATGTCTATCAGCACCATCATGTCCGTGTGGTAGAAGATGCTGGCAGTGTCCTTGCTGGCGAAGATGTCCTGCAGGAACTTCAGCACCGAGTGCGGCGGCTGCGGCTGGTGCTTGAAGATGCAAACCGGGTCGTCTGCAGGTGGCAGAGGAACCGTGTCAGGCCCCACGCCCCCCATCCCCGCCACGCTTCCCTTCACTAAACTAGCGCGATTCTGGAGGGGCCGCTGCCCGGCCTTGGCCAGGTGCTCCCTGCAGGGCCGGGTGTCGCGGCTGCTTCATGAGGAGCTCCCTGCAGGGAACCCAGCAGCCAAGGCTAAAGGAGCAGGGGTGTGGGCTGCCCTCCAGCCGCACGCTGTGCAGACAGCGACTTGCAAACCACAAGGAGAACTAACGCCAGGCTGAAAACAGAGCTGCAAGCCTCACGGGATGGGCTATTTATCAGCACATCAACAAAACGGATGTAAGGCAGCCAGGCCCCCTGCTCCAGAGGGATCAGAGAGCACAACAGCAGCACCAGCAGCAATAGCTGGCACTGCTGGCTGGGGCTTTGCAGCAACCTGCCTGCGGGAGCTCTGAGCACACAGTGCATTTTGCTCGGGGAGGCCTCCCTCGAGGCGGCGCTTCGCAGGGCAGGAGCCCCCAGGCTCCCTACGGGCACGGACAGGGGTCCCTGCAGTGTCCTGCCAGCCCAGGAGCAGGAACGGCGGGGGAGCAAAGGGACAACCCCAACAGGAGCCGGTGGCGCCCGGCCATGGGGTGACGAGGGTCCCTGGGCGCCGCAGGGCCCGTCCCCGCGGCTGAGCCCGGCCCCGCTCGCTGCTGCACTCACCTCCCCTGTTCAGCAGCAGCAGCAGCTTCTCTGTGAAAGTCTTCACGTTGCAGTGCTTGCTTATGGTGGTCATGATCACGCTGTGCTCTGGAACTAAGGGGAGGCCGCCGCTCAGCAGAGCCCCTTATTGCCAAGGGGCACAGCGACAGAGACAAGCGCGGGCCCCCCTTTCACCCGCCTGCTCTGGGGGAGCTTCGGGGCAGCTTTGGGGCGGGCAGGAGAGGGGAGGATACAGACGGTGAAAGGAGTTTGGAAGCAGGGCACCCAACACACAGCGCTCGGCGCTTCCCGCGTGCACCTGCTCCAACAGGAGCACCAAGCAGCAAGGGCAAGGGGCCGCTGAGACACCTTACGAGGGCTCTGTGATCCGAAACGCCACTTCCAGCTCTTGCAAGCCAAGGGCTCCTCTCTGATATCTTTGTACCAGTAGGGGCCCACGGGAGCTCTTCCCTCGCAAGCTCTTACAGGAAATAAGGCAGCTTCCAAGGACACGCCGAGGGAACAGCACCAGGCACTGCAAATGAGGCACTGAAAAACTCCTACTAAATGCTCCCTAATCTGGTTTGGGGGTGATTTCTTGAAACTGGAATATTTAATCCTAGCAGACACTATGCACACACATACACGCGTGTGTCTGTGCACGCTTGGAGGCATCCAGACAGCAAAGTGTGGCTATTTCTCCATCATGGATGGTGACCCTAAAGTACTTCCCAAGTTGTGAAGTGCTTCAGATCCTTCGCATTGAAAGGCATCAATATAATAATAGTTTTTAGGAGAGTTCTTGAACTAGTGCTGCATTCTTAAGCTGCAAATAGATTTGGGGCAGAGGAATATAAACCCAACAGCCCATAAGGAACCTGAACACCATTCAACAATTTCTTAGCACTAGAAAACAAGTCAGCGCCTTCTGCTGCACCCCAGGTGCCCAATAACCCCCCGGAAACACACTGCCTGTCATGTGCTATTGCCCCATTACTGCAGCCAGCAGCTGCAGGGCAGGAGTGGGGAAAGGTAATGAATGAGAGCAGCAGAGACTCTACTTAATCAGCCTCCGCGCAATCAACTTTCACGTTAAATCAGAAACTTTCACATAAACGTTAATGGAGCAGAACTCAGAAGTGACAGGCGGGCTGCTGGACCCTCCTTGCCGCTCTGTCCTCCCCGCTCTCCCAGCGCCAAGGCTGAAGGCACAACAAGAAGGCATTGACCAAGAGCAACAGGAGAGCTTGCAAACACATCCAGATTGAGAAGCGGCCGCTATTAACAGGCCTGGTGCTACTCTCCCTCTTCCAACACTGGGCTTGGAAACGCCCGGGCAGCCCTGGCAGGGAGAGGGTGAATTCCCTTCCTGGAGCCCAGGCGTTTTGCTGCTCCCAAGAGCTCAGCAGGCTTGGGAAGAGGGAGAAGGAGGGAGGCGGGAGGACGCGCAGCGGAGGCTGTGGCTGCAGAGCCCATCCCCAGCACACGGGCGTCGGAGGAGCCGAGAGGAGCAGCTGGGTAAGCAGACGGTTCGTCAAGAGCTGCAGGAGGCAGGGCTCGTCTTTCTGGCCCGATACTCAGAAGTGCCCACTGAAGCGTTTCCTCGTCCAAATGCGCTGGGCCAGGAGTTAAGCTCCACGCCGCTCTGCAAGCGCCGTCTAGCAATGCAGAGCTCAAAGGGAAGAGGAACCCGCGGGGCTTTGTCGGAGCGCTCTGCCTCCACGTCAGCTGCTGCACGCGAGCTCTCCGGCTATTTCCTCCCTCTACAATTTTGTGCAACGTTTAGGCAGAAGCTCTGGGCCAAACGCAGCATATTGCCAGAGTGAAGGAAGGGGACAGGTTATCACAGCACCCAGTGAGGTCCCTGCAAGATCCTGTACGTGCATTCTTCATGTCCCCCCATTCCAGAGCACTGAAATCCCACCAGGGAAGAGCAGCAGCACCAACCTGGAATGTGGAGGTTGAAGGCCAGAAGGACGTTGACAAATAAGTCAGGCAGCTGGTCGGTGGTGTCCGAGGGCAGCCCGTCCTCAATCACATCCAGCAGGAACTGCACGAACTGCGAGTTGAGATGCTCTGCATGTGAAGAAAGGAGCATTTACAGCACAGGGAGAAGAAACCAACAGGTCAAGCAAGCCAATTCCCTCTGCTTTGTGCTGAAAACCATTAGAGGAGTGTCAGCTTCAGGCATGAGGGAATCCACCATCCTGCAAGATGACCAGGTGAACAACAAAGGGTCTTTAAGCATGAGATAAATGGCTCAAAGAACCATCCACAGCTCTGAGAAATGCTGAAAGTCGGTGCCCCTTTGTTTCTTTCCTCCCCACTCACCCACCCCGGAGGAAATGAAATCCCAAATCCTGCTCTAGCTGCAGTTGCAGCACCATCACCACCGGGGAAGCCTCCAGGTAGAAAGAGATTTATATTCTTGACCATTGATTTAATCCATCTATTTTAAAACAAATAATCATCCAGATCATTGTAATAATTCATTTTTCAATTTTGCTATTAGGAAAGCTCAGGAGCACATGCAAATAAGCCCTCCTGCAGGAAATAATTGCAAGGGTTACACAAGGAGCAATAGTGAGAGATGAGGAGATTCACTCCTCGGTCCCTGCTGTACCACCTTGGATCTTGCATATGTTTATCAGGAAGGTAAATGAAGCTGCAGAGGAGACACGCAGAGAATCCTCTTCTGTGTTTCTAGAAAAACTTAGGCCAGTGTTTGCTGAATACTGGGAATACAACACGGACAAGGGGAGGAAGATCAGACAAAGATTGCTCCCCAGCAGGAGAAAGAGGGGAAGGGGAAAGCTTTGGCACGCTTGCTCCTCCCTGTTGACTATAGTACCCTCCATGTCCCCCAAGAGCCTGAAACACACAGGGCTGCATGGTCCCGTCCCAGGTGAGAGGAGCAGCAGGCTGCACGGCAGGCGCCTCCAGGCTGGGTGCTCGCTCCTGCGGCCGGGCTCTGCCCGTGCAGGGCTGCCCTCCCTGCCGTGCTCGCGCGGGGCTCCCCGTGCCCCGGCCCCGCAGAGCTGCTCCCGCACCGTGCCGCGCTGCTCACCGTAGTGGTGGTAGGGCAGGGGCTCCCCCATGCAGAACATCATGGCCAGCACCAGCGCAGAGTAGCACATCTTCTGATGATCTGCAGGAGAAACACATAAATGGGGCCGGCCATTTTGCTCCTGCATCCCTCTCCCCCAGTGGCACCTGGACAGTCACACTTAAGATACTTAACACCTATTAGATTGCACTTGAGTCCTGGATTCGCTGATCCATAAGGATGTTCTCCCAGCCACACGCTTAAACTCATGCCTTCTGCACCATGTGTTTCCAAACTCATTTGAGGATAATCGCAGCAACAACAACAAGAAATTTCATTTTTTTCCTCCTCTGCTTGAGAGGATCTGGGCAAACTTCATGCAACTAATTAAAAACCTCCCCTGCACAGTCCCAGGACGCACGGCATAGTTATGCAATTACCGAACCCAGAAAAAGCCTCCATCTGGGCGGCTCGAAATAGCGCCTGCTTCGGCTCATGCCTCCCCCGGAGCGCGGTGCCAGCCCCGCGCCGCTCTGCCCGGGCTCCCTCAGCCCTGCGCGGGGCCGCGGGGCCGGATCCCTGCTCGTGCTGATGCCACGGGCCGTGCTCCGCGCGCTCTCCTGTGTTACCGTGGCCAGTGCATTCCCCGCGGCGGCAGCCGCTGCACGCGGACGTGCCCGGCCCCGCAGCGCTGCCCGCCCTGGGGCTGCGCCACCGGCTACGCCCGGGACAGCCACAAAGCCACCGCGGAGGCGCTGGGCTAGAACAGCCCTCCATCCAGGTCAGTGACTGTGAAGTTTATTGGAAAATAAGTTTATAAAACAAATGTACCATGCGCAAAAGCTAAATAAAGTCCAATTACATCTGCCTGAAACAGCCCTTTTTTCCCCCGCTAATAAACACTGACAAAACCAGTACTTTTTGATTATTCTATAAAATATACATATGTGTGTTTCCCTTCAATGGGTGAGGCTTCTCCCTCCCTACAGCCCTGCTTCCCAGCAGGACACCCGCTTGTTCCAATGCCCCTGCCATTCTCCAAGACGCCGCACTCCTCTTTGCACGTCCCTGTCCCTGGTGCCTCTTGGCTTTGGCCAAAGGGCTGGCAGCACTTGGCAGCCCACGGGGTTGCTCTTAGTGTTAGACGCAGAACTTCTCAAATAGCAAAAACCTTAAGTAAAGATGTGCTCAGATCGTTCGGTGCTTCACCGGAGGCACTGCAGCTTTAACAGGATTAAGAGCCTCCATGAGAGCAGTCAAGACCAGGTGGCAGCAGGAAAAAACTGGGACCTGCTGTTTACTCGCAACAGGAAAGCTGGGGAGGACGTTTAATGGCTTAAATGTAATTCCTACTTATATAAGGAGCTCTTGGTTAGTAGGTGTCAGTGATGCCAAAGCTCACTGCAACACAGAAAGATTCTGACGCGCATTCAAGTAACGGGAACGTGCAGTTAGAGCAGACAGGTAAGAGATGCTCCCAGGCACAACCAGCCACCCACAGCTGGGAAAAAGCCTCCTGTCTGGCCGTGTTCTTTCATGATTGTTTGCTACGTGATTTCTCCACGTTCCTGCAAGGTCCCTGCAGCTGGCAGAGGAGGTAGGATGCTGCAGGAAGCAGATAGAGGGACCCGCTGTTCCCACGTTCCTAAGAGGCCGTCACCAACTAAACATTCTCTCTCATCACATCAGGAGCAATGAAGTAATGATCAGAGAACTAAAAGCCAGTGATAAACATGTGGCTGTGGGAAACGTGGAGCAAGAGATTAATTAGACGTGGGATGGGGGAGGTGGCGTGACGTCCTTGGCCCACCTGCTGTGAGCTGACATCCATTCATCTCGAGTGGCAGCAAACTCCACGACTAGATGGCAAATCTTGCCAGATCTGCCTAAAACCAAATGATGCTGCAAAGCTGAGCAGTGGAGTCACAAAGCTGAGCTGGGAGCCAGTCCAGATCAAAGCAGTGCACTCAGCACGGGCTCTGCAAGCTGGAGTGTTCCTGCAGCTGGGCTCCCCCCGGCCGTGTCCTTCAGCACCTCAGCAGCATGCTAACACACAGCACTTGCCATGCAAAGAACAGCTTTTTCTTTCCATCCCTTTCAGGGCAGTACCAATGCCTGCAAGAAAATAAATAGCATTAATAGGATTCCTCTGAAGGAATAGAGACTGGCAACCCAGCAGCGAGCAGTGCCAAGGTCTGACTGGCAAGAGTCGCTCCAAGGGCTAGGAAGGGCAGAGCAGATGGGGCCTTTTGCCCACGGATCTCTGTTTCTGGAGCTTGCTGAGGTACTGGTGAGAAAATGGAATTAGAGATGAGAGGAATTGCTCAGTGGCCTTCAGAGACCTTGCTTTCCACCTCTAAATTCAGCAGTGCAAGATCAGGGCACCGGCAGCAGGGACAAGTGTCTGCGGCTCGAGCAGAAGGAGCCGGCGGCTGCCTGGCACAGACGGCGAACCGCAGCCGGGGAGGCTGCACTACAGGCTGGATTATCCCCGCCTGTTTTCCTTGGAAGTGTTCTGGCTAATTCTGCCTCGCCGTGTCTTATGATAAGCTCTTCTAGTGCATGGATAGATGCGGAGCCAGCGGCTGCAGAGGGAAGCGGCCGCGTGCATCCAACGGGGGCAGCAGCCACAGACGGGCACCGGCCCCGGGCAAAGCGTCTCCTCCACCAAGGCACCCCGAGCCACCCCTGCACGAGGGGGTGCAACAGCCACGGCCCCGAGAGCCCCTGCACGAGGCACCCGCCGGGAACCCGCATTTCTGCAGCCACTTCAACGGCCCCGAGGTGCCCAGTGCTGGCAGCCGCCGCGCTGGTCCCTGCCAGCTGCGCAAGGGATTAGCTCGGCCACAGTATGTCACGCATCAGCTGCTGTTCCCCAGCTTCCAGTACCGAAAGCAGCTCACGGCTGCAGGATTCAAGGTCATGTTTTCATTCAAGGCAGTGCTTGCCACTTGGTGGCATGGCACGGAAGGATCGGAATGGTGGCAGGGAACTGCTGACGGCTTCAAACGCCTCTGCAGGACAGACACGTCAGGCAGGGGTAGTTCTGCTCTGGAACCCTGCTGCCAAGGCCAAGGGGACCGAGGGCTCCGCAGATGACAGTCCTACGACAAGTGAAGGAAGGTGGCACAGGACGTGGCCACCAAGTTGGGTGGCTCCCACAACTAAAGACTGGCTACCTGCAAAGAAAGCGCAGGAAGGGCAGCTCCGCGCCCTTGGCCCATGCTAAGGACCAGAGCAGAGAGGGCAGAAAGCAGCCGCCCTTGAGCCCAACGAGCGGGGATGCCGCACGGCTGCAGCCGGAGGTGCCCAGGATGTAGCAGGAGTGAGAAATGCTCAATGCTTTTCCCTCGCAGCCACTGCAAAGCTTTGCAGTTCCCCAAAGCAGAGTCTATCGTTCGCTGGGAGACAGACCTGAAGCAACCAGAAGTGCTGGGGGAAAGTCACGGAGAGGCGGTCACACGTCAGGAGGGGTAACGTTCAGTCTACGTGGAGCCCAGCCAAGGTGCTCAGACGTTGCCTGCGCCAGGGCTCGATGCTCCCCGCGGGGACGAGGCAGAGCCAGCGCCAGGAAAAGCTGCTGCTTGGGAGAGCCCCAGGGAGCAGCTCTGCGAGAGCCCTGGACCTGCCCATGCTGCGAGGACGAAGCAGGAGCCACGGCCAGCTCGAGGGGCGCAGAAAACACCCACCCGCAGACAATCTATACGTATTGGTAAATGGAGGCACGAGAAAAGTTTATTTTGGGGCAGCACAAGATCAAGAGTGTCCTTGTCACGGTCACACAGTTATAGACCCATCACCAAGTGCCATTTGCCTCTCAGGCAAAAGAAAAACACAAAAATCAGCCTGGAGAGGAGATTTCTCGTGTGAACGCAGACAAACGACCACCTGCACACACCTCACACCCCGCACGACTGCTGGGCTGCGGGAACCCAGCGAGCAAGCTCAGCCAGTCCAAGCAGAACCATCTCAGGGCCTCCCCACATCAACCTGGTGCGAAAGCCCTGAGCTGGAAGATGTTTTCAGTCGCTCCCGGCCACGCTGCCTTCAGCTGTTTATGCTTTAAAGCCTCTAAGCAGAGGTGAGCACAAAGCCCTCCACAACACGCTCAGTTTCCATCCCTCTGTGTCCCAACACTGACACCCAATTCGTTTCCCTGGTCCTATCCACAGTGCAGGTCACTTGGCACCATCTGGAATAGGGTGCTGGGAACTTTGGGAACTCCCATTCCAGACGCCTAAGGCAGTGCCCGTGGAGAGGTACTTGGCTCAAGCGAAACGGATGGGACAGTTCCTGTCCTGGGCAGACACATTAATCCCTACAGTCCCACCACCAGGCTGCACTTCCAGCAGCAAGACTCCAAATCTTGGGGCTCTCTTGGTTTGCTGCACAACAACTACTTCAATTGTGGGCTAAGATTAAAACAACAGGTTTTCAGCATCCTTTTAAAGACAAATGGGGTTGGGAAAGCAACGCTGGGGGAGCATCACTGCATGTTCCCCTTCCTACACTCTCCCCCCAGCACTTGTGGCTGCTCTGAGGGAACAGGGACCAGGCTAAGCGGGATCTTTGGAGGACAAAACTAGCACTACCTGGTCCCACCACCCAGTCTTCCCATGGGCCTCAAAGGGCAATGTTAAAGTTAATGGGCTGAGACAGGGATACGTCCATTCCCATCTTCTGCTTCTAGAGGTGCAACTGGTTGAAAGAAGGAGCTCCATGCTGAGAGGGAGACACTTATAGACCATAACCACAGCTTTGTTAACAGCTCTAGCATGATCGCTCAGAATGTGCTCTAAGACTCCTACAAGAAACCACAGAGATGAATAAGGGCATGACCAAGAGCTACAGCACCTTCCCTGGGCTGAAACTTCTTCCCCTTCCTCCCATGCATTTCCACTTACACCTGTGACAACCCGAGAATGACTTTCAAAGCAGACACGTTCCCTCCCGGAGCGCAAGGCGCAGGCAGGGACAGGAGCAGCACTGCTGCGAACAGCCTGATGGAGGGAGAGACCCCGCGGAAGGGACACGGGGCACCCGGCAGCCCCAGCTCACCTTGCGTGTGGCTCTGCATGTCGCGCGCCAGCTCCATGGGCAGCACCGAGTTCACCAGCGTGGAGATAACGGCAGCGTCCAGGTTGCACATTGCTCCAAAGCACTTCAGCAGCAGCAGGCGCAGCGGCACCCTGTGTTCCTGCAACCAGAGCTCATCAGACCCGGGATGTCCCGGGGGAGGCCTCGCTCCAAGGGGCCTACGCGGCTAAGCGGCCCTGCTACTGGAAAAGCCACAGAGCAGCCCAAGGTAAAGGTGAGAAACAGAAGCTCCGTAAGTTTTTAACAACCACCTAGGAGTCCTTTAACGGTGACATTCACAACTGGCCACTTACACATTCGGATGGGGCCATGCTGAGGAAGAGGAGCTCAGAGCCAAAATGCCAGGTCTTATCTGATGACACTGATACCAACCAACACCACAGGCCTCCTCAGCCTCTAACAGCGCCTTTCACCTCCTACTCCCTGCTCCTCACCTGTGAAGGTGCTGGGTTTGTGCTGGGAGCACCCAAAGGATGCTGGGCTGCTGGGCAGGGTGCCAGCCAAGACAGTGCTCGAGCTGCAACTCCCACGCGGGAGCCCTGGCGCGGTGGAAAACGTGGGTGCTCCCAAACGTGCTGCAGCCCAACGGCAGGCCCTGGGTCAGACAGCCGAGCGCCCATGGAGCCCTGAGTGCAACCAGGCTGGATGTGCCGGAGCTGGGGACAAGCTGGGGACAGGTCTCCAGCCCACGGCACAGTCCTACAGCAGGCAGTTGCAGGAAGGAGAGGGAAAGCAGCATTTCATAGACACCGAGGACTAAACTTCCATTTCTTCCTCTGAATACTGATTTGCTTCCTCAGTCCCAAGGCTTTTACCCACAACCTACTTTCCAAAGCAAAGCTATTTACTAATGCACAGGAGTGCATCAATTAAAAGAGGAGCAGTCAGAGCCTGTCAGCTTTCCCAAGGCATTGGCGGAAATCCTTCCTCTAGACATTAGAGCTGCTGATTCTGGCCCTCAGTGGAGCTAATAAAAGCAGCAAGCTTTTCCATTCACAGTGCCAGCTCCTGCTCAAGTCGGGCATCTTCGGCTCCTCCATATGCCTTGCATGCACAACAGGGCACTGGCCAGCATGCAAAAGGAATGCACTAGAGCCCCATCTAGCTCGCAGACCTGCCCTATCTGGTGGGCAAGCGTTGCACGTTCTGCACAGTGACCCTTTTACATCTTCAGGGAAACCTCGAGAAGGGATTTGATGCATCCTGCCACCTTACCATCTGGTAATATGCCACAAGGGACAGAACTGATTCAAATTCATTCTTCTTGCACATTTTCTTGCAAACTTCTGGGTCTGCATCTGTCTGGAAACACAAATGAACAGGTCAGTGCAGTGTCACCTCAAAGCAGCAAGGTAATTGCTGCAATTCTAGCTTGGGGCAAACTACTTTCTTTTAGGTTTCTGTAGCCCCAGCCAAACCAGTTTGCAAAGAAACCAAAGCTGGACCATGAAGACAGCTCAAGAAGGGCCAGCCACATTACAGATTCTGAATCGAAGTGAATTCTTAAGAAACATCTTTGCCATACAGTGCTTCTTGGAATGAGATCATCTGAAACCATGACCTGAGCAGTACATCTTGCAGCCACACTCAGCAAAACCAGCACTTTCCCCATCCTGAGAACATCTCCCCTCACTCCCAAATTATGAGGAAACTGTTGCACAAAATCTGCTTTCCTTTGCTCTGCAGGCCACACAGCAAGAACGTGGGCCAGATGTTGAGATGGAGAGAAAGACACTAGTGTTTACAATGCAGTCTACGGTTGTATCTGATACCGCCCGGTTTGTGCACACCTCCAGACAAGGAAGAAGTCCGCAATGGGCCAAGGTGCACAAGAGCTCTCACAGCAAACTTCTAGGCTTGCTGGGGGAGGTTGGACTTTTCTGGAGGTGAAGTTTTCTTCCTACAACAGGTAAGTACTACACTGACCATGAAGGACATTTCTATGGTTCCTTTCAGAACAGCTTTGCAAGGGGACTGACCTACATGCTTTGTTACACCGACAAAGAAGGAAATTCACCCACCAGGATGCGCAGCAGCTCCTCCAGGTAACAGCAGATGACGTTTTCATCCTCATAGAGCGCCCAGCTCCGCTGCTGAGCGTCATCCTTGTGTCTGGCCAGATCTGCAAAGATCACCTCCAGCCGCTGCTCGTCGTGGCAGACCTGCCCCGAGGGCAGCCCCGAGCTCAGATTCTGCAAAATAAAACAAAAAATACCCGTTATTGGGGTCCTGACAGTTGGCTGCTGTTTGAGTGACTGTTCAGCATAATCTTTACTTTGGGATTGACAGTGGACCTCACTCGATCAGGAGCTGGCAGCAAATAGAGTAAGTTTAAGACCCTCCTCGGAGGGCAGGAACAGGGACCAGTGCTGCACATCCCCAGGCCACTTACTGCGCAGTAACTGCCACGTCTCAAGTGCTTTATTAGAGGCAGAATTGCTGGTAATTTGCTTCACAGAATTTGAGGTGCAAACTCATTAGGACTTTGATTCAGTGTTTCAATTATATAATAAAAAAGGCATTCTTGTTGTCAGTGTTAATTACACAGCGGTGCCAGGCAGGTAAGGGAGGAGGGGACGTGCTGGTCTGAGGTGGACATAAACCAGCGCACGCTCTGCAGAGCATTTCAGTGAGCTGTGGCCAAGCAGGCAGTTTCCTGCTAGCTGTAATTAATCACCTAACGAGTGACATTAGCAGAGAGGAGGCTGGTTTGGCCATGCAGCCTCCTCCCCTCCCGAGCAGGGCCCTCCTGTGTCCGAGGGCCTGGGAGACAGCTCCGCACCCACGCGCCTCCTCAGAGCTGCAGGGCTGCTCTTACCTCCGGCCACCCCTGGAAATGGGGTTTTAGATGAGTGTTTTAACGATTACTCGTGCTAATGACGCCTCTAAATTCTCTTCAGCCTCTTAACGCTAATCTGCTCCCGGCAATCCCTCCTCTCCGCCCGCAGACTCCACGGAGCATCGGGCTCCTAATGGACTTCGACGAGCTGGCTCTATTGCCAAGCCTCTCCGTGAGGCTGGTGCAGCTGTTCTGGGTGCCCGTGTCCCCAGTTCTCCCTCTCCCGGGTCAGGCCGGGGCTCATCGGGGACCTTGGCAGCAACCAGCAGCAGGGACTGGGCAGCCCCTGGTGCCCATGGGTGCACTGGGCAGCCCCCAATACCCACGGGGGCACCGGGAGCAGCCCCCAATGCCCCCGGGGCACTTGTGCACCCGCTCTGCAGAGGAGCTGGGCAGAATCGCCCACTAAAAGGCTCTGGCCAGACCCGCACAAAGCAGCTCCCTCCTACAGCAATGAAGGAGCAAAAAGACTTGCCCGAGCATTAACACAGCCCCCTCCCTCTCCATATTCACATTCCCTGCAATATTTCACGCTAGGAGCAGTCCCATAAAACAGCCTTGACAGCGCTTGCCCTGCCCAGCTCCCTGCGTGCCAAACGCTGCACAGCAGCCAGGCTTGCTAGGGACAACCTCCCTCTGAAGCAAGGCCAAGAGGAGACCGGACTGGTCGTGGGCACCACGCTATCATGGTGCGAGCTCTGCAGCTCCAGCAGGTTGCACGGCGCTGCCAGAGCTTTGAAAGCTGCAATTGAAGGCAGCTGGAGGCAGGTCCGAGCCACAACGGGAGCACTGCAACGCTAATCTCATAAGAAACAGGTAATCAGTTTTCCTGGAGCGCTCTCAAGGTGCAGCCAGACTGTGTATGAAGCAACTCCTCTTGCCTGGCCCTCGGTTTAATGAACGCTCACGTGGAGCTCCCTAGACAAGACATCTGCGGTCCCATCCCCTCCTCTCAGACAGGGGTAACTCTGCAGAGCTCAACGCAACCGCCCATCGCCACCGCAGACTAATCTAAGCGACTCTCTAGATGCCAGCAAGTCCAGCAGCATCTATATTATCTTTAGCTATGGCCAAATTCCAGAGGAGCTCCCATAAAAGCCAGCTCCAGCTTGCTATTTACACAGTCTTTGCAGCGCTGCCTTTGCAAAGAGGCTTCCTTTCCCGTTGTGCTTTCTGTCCACAATCTGTTCAGTAGGAAGTGGCTCAAGGACAAGGAGGGCCATGCTCCAGGCCAGGACAACCCTTACGTGGGGTATTTGCTCCTACAGGCGTGTTCCCAAAGCAGCGTGTTCCTTCTGGAGTCTCTTTTGGGGGGTTGAGTGGCTCAGGAGCCTGGGAGCCGCTCTTCTTGCTTGGTTATCCACCTGTTCCCAACAAATGGATTCCCAATGTATTGACCACGGATTTGCATGGATTAGGGTGCAGAGGGATTTAAGAAGCTACGAATTGAACAACGAAACACCCTAACCAAGAAGCAAAGATTCAACAGTAATCCTACACAGGGTCACTTTATCAGCAGAATCCCCTGAGATCATGGAACGATTTGATGTAACGAGCGAGACCAAGTCCATAACGATAATTTGTACCATTAGAGCACACCAGCAAGGCGAAGGCAGCGCAGCCGCCCTGCAGGCGTGAGGGGACCCTTTTACCTGCCAGAGCTGCCCTTTCAGACGGCATGAAACCCTCACCTGGCACCGGGTACCAGCAGAGACAGCATGAACCCTTCATCTGGCACCGGGCACCAGCAGAGAGGCACCTCCTGTGCAGCACAGCCAGGGAAGCCCCAACCACAGCATTCCCAGCAGAGCTCCGAGCAAGCCAACACCACTCTCCTGCCGAGATGGCACAGCTCACATTGTATGAGAAAGGACAGTGTCTTCCTGTGCCCCTCCATGGAGCACCTGGCATTTTAAGCCCATGGAGGTGCTGACTGGTAGATGCTGGTCTCGGTTTCAGGTAGGCAGTGGCTCCCCACACCCCGACGCTTCACAGACCAGTCTGCAGCAATGGCCATGAGTGGAGGATTTCAAATCCCAGCTGCGGAAACTTGGCACCCGTTTGTCCTTCGCTAAACGACTTCTGTGGAGCTTAAATTACTGTATTCTGAGAGCAGGTATTTAAGATCAAAATAATATTCAAGTCTTGTCCAAGGTCCAAGCAGCAGGAATCCGAATGGGGCTGCTCAGAGCGCGTGTCAGAGCCAGAACATTTGCCTGAAACAGCTGATTTTTTTTGCTGAATCCAGATCACACGTTGATACTATATTGTTTAGGGAGCAGGAAGCAATTAACTGTTGGGTTATGGCCACAAACTGAGACTTGATGGTTGCCTACAGGATGCTCTGTTCAACGCAGGCACTTAACTAGGCTATGATTTGATGTGGAATTTGAATGCCCCTATTTTTTCTGCATCCCAATGCCTCCAAACATTCCTGCTCATGATAATCTCGCCATGAGCACTGCAGCTCTGATGTTAGATGTTCATGTGAAACGGGGCTGCACTTAGCAAGCGGGGCTACGAGCTGCTTGATTTAACCCTTCCCCTCGGGCCTCTGTCACACGGGGAGGAGGAACGTGGATCCGTTCGGTACAGGGGCTATTCAGCGCAGGCTGAAGCTCGTGCTCTTTCTCCGCTCTTCTGCAGTTGAAGAAAAGGAAGGGGAAAAGTAAAAAAAAGGCTGAGCAGTGTTCATGGGATACTAGAGAAGCAGACATCGGGAGACCCCACCACAGCTGTGTGTGCTCCACAGCTGTAGGAGAAACACACACGCAGATCTGTAGTAGGCAAGGGCTGATCCTATGCAGATTCTGGCACGCCAGAAGAAAACACCAAGTTCTCACAATGCGTTATGTTACAAAAGGTTTCTATAAACCACCACTTATTACTAGAGCTCCGTTTTTCTCAGTTTCTGTGTTGTATCTGTAACAGAAACCACTCTGAGAAGTCAGCCCTAATCTCCGTCCCCAGCTGCGGCTCTCCGTGAGCTTTCACGACAAAGGCAGACGCTCGGGCCGGAGCAGAGAAGCAGCCAGACTCGTCTTGCTTCTTTATTTCACTTCCCACTGACCTTCCTGCTGCAGCAGCATTCGCTGTTCTGCTTTTTCTTTCTGCATGGTAGTCTATCAATTCCCAGCGTTCAGCAGGTCTCCGCTACGCTCCTTCCCCCATCGTTTGGCATCAAGCCTTGTGCATTTTCTTTTAATTTCTCCCTGCTCTCGCTCCGATTGGCGGCAATGACGAAAGCCAAGCGGAGGCCTCGTTTCCCACCGCGCCACGGAGCCTCCGCACCAGAGCAGGGCGGTTTTCTCAGAGCGCTTCGTGTCCTGCAGCCTCTGCTCCCGCTGCCGTCCCCTGGCTGGTGCCCTCCTGTGGTCACAGCCCTCCCCAAACCGCTGTCCCTTGTAACACCCAGCGCTGCAGGGCTGCTCAGCCTCCAGTCCAAGCCCAAGCCCTTGGCTAGGCCCTACTTACACGTGCAGCTCACCTAGGGAAGGCGCTCACGCTTCCCGTGTCCCTGCTGTGCGTGGCTGCCAGCACTGACCTCGTTAAACCCTTGGTCCCCTTGACGAGTCCTTCCAACCCTGGGGTCCCTCTCCCCTTCCCTTTGGGATCTCCTTGCACTTCCCCTCCCAACGCAGAGCCGTGAGCCCACAACCCCACGTTCCCAATACCAGCGCCGCGGCCTTTTGCAGCACCCTGCGCGCCTTACCTTGCTCTCCACCACGGAGATGAGGATCTGCTCCATGATGCCGCTGGTGGCCGGCACGGAGCTCTGGATGTGGCCGATGACCACGCCGATGGCCACGCGGGACAGCTCGTAGCTGAGGTGCGTGTTCCTGCGCACCAGCTCGATGAGCTCGGCCCCGATGGTCTTGGGCACGGCCGCCGCCAGCGCGCCGGGCTCGGGCGCCGCGGGCTCCGCCGCCGCCTTCTTGTCCTCGACGCAGAGCGCGCCGAAGGGCTCCGGGTCCGCGGCGGGAGCCGGGGGGGACGGTACAACCTGGGTGCCCCTGTCGCCGTCGTCGCCCCTGGCGGGTCCCCGCTCGGCGGGCGGCGCCGGCGCCGCGCGCTTGCCCTGCGGAGACCTGCTGCCGCCGTCCCTGGCGGAGCCGCCGCGGCGGCCGGCGGCGCCCGCGTCCAGGCTGCGCGTGATGGAGGTGTGCACGCTGCGGCTGGGCACCGGCGGCGGCGCGGCGGCCGGGCTCGGTGCCGCCTCCGACGCCGAGGACGCCGTGTACAAGGTGTCCAGCGAGGTGGTGCTCACCGAGGAGGCGCTGGACGCCGAGCCGGGGGCCGCTTCAACGGCATCTGCAAGGGGGCAATTAAAAACACCTTGGCAACGGCATCAAAGGGGACACGACCAACAGAGCTCACGGCAGCAGAGGCCGTTAAAAGGCTCGTTGTGCATGCCAGCAGAGCCGTTCAGCTCCTCTTCCTGCCACACTTATCTCCCAGCAAAATGGAGTTCCCTCCGGAGCATTCCCGCACAATCACCTCCTCAGAAAGGGGAGAACTACTCTGTGGAGATGAATACCCTTCAAAGGGCTCAGTGTTTCTCGCAGGGGAAGGGAGGCAGGCAGAAACAGGACTAAGGGACAGAAAAGTCTTTTCCCTCGGCCTAGCAGGCACCTTTCCCTGTGTTCAGGGGTCAGACGTTCACTTTTGGATGACGTGCCTGAGAATTTGGAGACGCTGGAGGCTGGGCATGCCAGCAAGCATCTCCCTCGCGCTCACATCTCTCCCTTCGGCACCAACTGTGCACGTACACGCACAGCTAGCGTCAACAGCGGGGAAACATTCGGCTGACAAGCGCCCGTGCTCTCTCCCTCTCAGCATCCTTCCGCGTCTGAGCACAAGCCCCATAGACCTGACAGCACACATGGCTTTCACAAGCCACCAGAAGATTTTCTGCCTTATTTCTTTCTCCTGTCTAGTTTTGTCTAGCTCCAGGAATGGTAGTTGTCCCATTTCTCTGGGGAAAAGAAAAGAAACCTACTACAAGCAATCAAATTGTTAAGATTTTTCTTTACTGACAGGACTAACGTAGCTCTGCTAAGCCTTATACATTAGTTTCTAGGGGACAGAAACACATGTGAATCCTTGCTTGACTGTAAAAATAGACCGTTTCTTGGGCAAGCACGAGGATACTTTCATGTAGAGCCCAGAGAGCACAGCTCACGATGGGGCTGAAGAGAAGGAGCAGAGCCCATGGGCAGCTCACTTGGAGCCGCAGCCCCGCTCCGCACGGGCATTCCCAGAGCCCCCCGGTTTTCCTGATGCACCAGCTTTCTCCCATACCAAAGGAGGAACCCAAACGAGGAACAAGGTGCATGGCCCAGGCAGCCCCATGTGCTTAGCGCTGCGAGGGGACCCGACGATGCCCCGGCCACCACCGCCAGCATTGAACTCTGCAGGAGTTTAAACCCCGGCCTCCCTTTGGCACCAAGCAGAGGGATTCTCCTCTAAATGTGCAAGCAGAGCAGCGGAGCCCCTGCAAGGCCACGCAGCTCAGGGCCCCTCGCCGGGCACCACGGGCTGGACGGGGGGTCTGTCCTTACTTTTGGTGGGCGCCACGTGCGCGTTCCTGCGCTTCTCCGGCGGCGGCGGCGTGACGGGGGCGGCGCGGCGCGGCTGCGGCGGGACCTGCGAGGAAACGTTTTGGAGCCGTCAAAGCACGGTGACAAGAAAGACATCCCCTGCTATGAAGTCCCGCTTTGTCTGCGTGTGCACGTGTAAATTTGCCCTTACATCTCCCTCCTCATTGCAGGAAGTTTTCTCAGGAGGACGGATATTAATAGGCGGCTTCCTGGAAGAACAAAGCGGGACTCAAACCGGCTTCATCCCCTCCGTGACAGGAAAGGCAGCCCGTGCTTAATTGCTGTGTTCAGCAGCACACAGCACGCGCGCCGTGTGGACCTGTCAAGCATTTACTCCTTCCCTGCTGCAAGGGCAGTGCCACACACCCACCCTGACTCCACATTACTCTCAATAGCTCCACAGAGGCCGCAAGCAGAGTGCATATTTAGACACTCTGCTGCAGAGCTCCATTACATCAGCGACAAATATCCCTGCAAAAAGACAAAGCCACGGATTGCAGACATGGACATTCCTTTTCCATGCTTTCAGAGCTATTTCTGCTTATGCAGGGAGGGAGAAAAATCAGGCTAGAATCACAGGGCAGTTCTACACAATGGCAAAACCTGCTGGGAAAAGCTCTTGCGGGGGAGTTGCACTAACTCCCTGCCTCTGGTATCTCTCCTGCAAGTCTCCTCTCCAAGCAGAGCTGAGCCAGGAACATAAGAGCCCCTGACCCAGATTTCTGTGCTCTGATCTCGCCCTGCTGGATACAGAGGCCACGATCGCCTGTGTCTTTGCACCTAGAATTACCACAGTGGGCTGCAACAGCACCTCTGATCGCTTAGCATGTTGTGGCTATCGCTGGAACACCTCTGTTTTTATAAGATATTGCAATTGCTGCTTGCAGAAATATAGTTTAGAGCAGAATCAGAAGGGAAAAGTGATTATGGCCTGAATCTCTCAGCAACAGCTCAAGGAAACCAGCTGGAATCTGCCACGGTGTCATCCAAGCCATTACACAATGCTTATTTTCTATGTTTCTTTAGCCCTGAAGGAGAATTTAGCTGTGAACTGGAAAGAGGGATCGATACAGAACTTCAGGACAGTACTATAGAGCTGACCAGAGCACTGACAACCCCCGGAGTGAAAGACTGAGACTGGTCCTGGAAAAATCCAGGAGTAAAACTGCATCTAAATAGCTCAGAACAAGGAAAACAAGAAGTGCACTTTTTCTGGAATCAAGGAGGACAAAAACTTCCTGTGAGATGGGAGCAAGGCCATTCCTGCAAAGATGATGTCCCTAGTTGCTGCAGCTTCAAGTATTTGAGCACTCAGTGTCAGAAGTTAATGATACAGCACTCGTCCCTCAATGGAGCCTATTGAAAATCTGAAATGAGCATTTTACAGAGCCTTTTAGGAAGGGGTCTTTTGCTCATTGCCTCTCACCCAACCCATAACATCCCCTTGCAAGGCCCTGCAATCCGCCCCATCCGCAGCAGCACCTTTGACTAGTCCATTAGAACGAGGGGCTTCTGCCAGCACCCAGGGGAGCTCTTCCCTCACTGTCAGGCCACCTCGTGCTGTTACCCGGGTAAAACACGACAGGATTTTGCACTGCAAAATCTCTGCAATGCAAAACCTCTCGCAGAGAGCCCGCCGGAATCTCACAAGTACACGCTTGCCCTTTCCAAACCACCACTGTTGGGCCAAAAAGAGACTGCACAGCTGAGAGGGGCAAACGCGAGCTTGTCCAAGGCTGGCAGCTCAGCTGTGCGGCAGGGAGCGCGGCGCGAGCCAGAGCCGCTCGGCACGGCCGCGGTTACCGCAGGCTTCGAGCTCGGAGCGGCACCGCGACGCTACTGGACACGGAGAGGCTGGGTCATTCCCGAGTATCTCCAGGCCTTTGTTATCCCTTCTAAATACACCAGGCAAGTTTAAGGTTACTATTAGAGGCTGGTGTTTAATAGGTGCGGGTGCGATGTTAGCTCAGAGGCCCGGGCAGCACCGCGCAGACGGCCGCGCGTCGCGGGCCCAGCGCTCGCGAGGAGGACGCAGAGCATCGGGCGAGTGTCCCCGCTGCCAATGCGGGCAGGACTCGACAGGGCTCACGGAAAGAAAGCCAAAAAAGTGAAGAGCACATCTCTGTACTTCTCTTCTCTGTACTCTGCTTCTCAAGAGCATTGAAAAAGTTGTCATTTCAGCAGGTCTCCTCTTTGGCAGCTGCATAACCAGACAGAGCAGAGAAAAGCGGTGATTTCCTCCATTCTGTGCTTTCAAAGCACACGGGAAACTCCTCCATTCAGCAGCCACACTCTCAAGGAGCCCTTTCAGCAGGGCAAACAGCACTGCATACTCTTGGACTGCGTCCTTGCTGCCACCCAGACACACACGGCTCCTTGTTAGCCAGGGAACTTGCCTTGCTCTATTCTGGCAAGCAACTAGATGAGCAGAGGAAGGTGGAGAATCAGCAGGTGAAAGGGCCTTAAGACGCTCCACTGGGTGCCCAGAGGAGAGAACTAACATCAAGGAGAAAAATGGGGTTGGTGAGCCTGCCCGTGTTCTGCACGAGCTTCCCTTGGTGTCTGTAAATTCACCGTTCTTTAGAGGTAAAACGAGCCTCACGCACCAGCAGCAGCAGTGCCTGGTAGCGCTGCGTCCAAGCAGCTAGCCTAGGCAGATGAAGACAGACTACAGGGCGCATGTTCATCTGCAGGAGAGGAGGAAAACACCTCCCTGCTCATCCTCGCTTAGCCTTGAGCCCTGCCTTCCAGCCCCACCTACGCCGATCCCAATCCATCCGGAGCACTCGCGGCATCCGTCCTTGGCGACTTCTTTGGAGCCTTGCTGACGCCACCCTGTAACCTTGGAACACGCACCACTTAAAAAAAAAACGCCTCTAAATTGTGTTTCCTGCATTTTACCCCTAATTCATCACTAGGAGGAACATTCAGACAAAGCAGGATCTTGCTTTTTAAGAGCTAAGTAGCAAAATCAGCAGTCACAGCAGATAAATGCTTAAAGAGCAAAGATCTTGTTGTGCAGACGTAACAAGGGAGAAATACAAAGCTGTGCTGAGTACCCAGAGAGTTCTGCTGCTTATGTCAAAACCACTTCTCAAAGTATCCTCTGAGGAGACTGGGAAAAGTTTTTTGTTTCTTTTTTTTAAATGACAAGAGTCATCCAAATGAGAGCAGCTCTCTCACATCACCATAAAACCTCAGACCCTCAAGGATCCCCCAAAGCATTAAAAGTATAAACAATACAATGGGACTGTTCCAGACTCCGTGACTAGAGCATCAGTTCAACTTACTGCATCCAAGGAAACAGCCCGGTAGTCCCAAACAAGCAACAGAAATTCCTCCTTTGAGGCTTCGGCTGCGCAAGGCACCTCATTAAACAGAGCAAGCAGTGTCACACCAGCAAAGAAGAAGAGCGCCCGGCCACGGCTACCTGATAGAGGCCTTCATCCTCCTCCTCAAGCTCGGTGTTGGGCAGGCTGTGGTGCCGCTCGTAGCCGGCGCGGCACACGCCGTTGGGCTGCCGCGCCACGTCCAGGTGGTGGTCGCTGGAGGACTGGCTCATGACCATGCCCTGCGGCGTCGGCGAGTGGCTCTTGCGGGACACGGTCTCCTTGCGGTGGTGGATCAGTTTTCTGCGATGGGGTAACGACATTAGGAACAGCGGAGAGGGAAAGGGAGTCACCGTGTGGCAATGTTTAGATGGGATATTGTACTGTTTTCATATATAAAACCCCATTCTGAGATATATATAGATAAATATCCATCTATATATATATATATACACACACACCTATACATATAGATAGATATCTCAGAATAATGGGGTTATGCTGCTCTGATGACTGACTCCAGTTTCATTAACAACTGAAGCAACACTGCTGGGGGAGGAAGGAAGAGGCTCTGCAAAAGGCCTATGATTTATTCATAAGTTCACAGGAGAAAACTGCCTCTTCTTCGGGGGAGTTCTATATTGCATTGCAAGCCCCAGACATTGCCTGCACTTTAAATCCCTGTTCCGTGGGGACGAAGCCAGTGTGCCTCAGCGTGAGGTGTCAGGGGACGAAAATTCTCATCACAATCAATTATTTGTGAACCCCACCAAGACCCTGTGCCACATGGCTAACAACTCCTGCAATTCCCGGCTGGGAGAGGGGAGAAAGCAAGACAGGAAAGGCTTTGGATTCCTCCTCTCGGCCTACAATGCAGCTTTATGCACGCGGGCAGAGAGGGGCAAGATGAAGCACTGCTTTGTTGGAGGCAGCTGACAGAGGAACCACCAGGCCCAGAGGGCTCGCTGGGCACATCAGCACTGCACGGCACAGGGCCTCGGACCAGCGAGGTCCAACTGAACAGGACACAAGTGTGACACGCTGGTCACCCTCCACCTCTCCCTGGTGCCAGGACTTACTGCAGGACGTCTCTCTGCTCCAGGTTGTACTTGCCCCCGTTCTTCATGGCCGCGTTGTGCACAGCCTCGATGGCACGGTCAATGGACTGCAGGACCACATCCTGCTCCAGCACCTGAGAAAAGAGACCCCTCACATGTTACCGAGCTACTTTGGTTGCAATCCCGTTACAGCAGAGCTTACAGCACTAAAGACTGAGGCACGCGGAGCCCCAGGGCAAGGAATCCGTCCTGCCACTGCCTCCCTTTTCCCTCCTTCCTCCACAGGAAACGTGTTTGAGGCTGTGCTCAGAACAGAGTCTGCCCATTGGAGGTTCATGGTTGGAAGAGGAAGCCACACGAGGAGCACCAGCGAGCACCCCATGGCTCGGTGCCCCGCTTGCATTCGGGCCCTGAACTCCAGGGACCACCAGCCACACGGGGGGATCAGTGCAGGAACACAGAGCAGCCTCCAATACTCCGGCCGTTCCGGAGAGCCTTTGGGACCCCTCTGCAAAGCCCCGCTTATTCCCACCTCAAGTCTTTGGGCTCTCATCATCTTGCTCCAGAGCAAACCTGCAGCTGGGGACACCACAAACCAGTCAGGATCTGGAGACCTGGTGATCCAGTTTGCTGGCCCAGCTTCTACATCTTTGCTCGCTTCTCGCTGGTTCTGCACCCGTCCCGCAGCTCGGAGCGGCCTCCCGTTTCCACCCAAGGCAACGCAGCGACGTTTACCCCTCGCGGCAGCCGGTTCGCTTGTTCCCGCAGCCGAAAGGAACAGCGGCCTCCACGGGAGAGCTGCCGGACACGACAGGCGCAGGGAAGCTGGAGCAGCTTGGGGGCTCTCCAAGGCCAAGCTTACACAAGTTCCTGCAGCAGCGGAGCCCCAGGTTGCCCACGGCCGGATCACGGCGCGCGCCGGCACCTGGGGCACCCGCTCCAGCACCGAAGCCCCTTCATCCTCGCTCGCCCGGCCGCTCCCCGCAGCGCGACGGCCCTTGGCCAGGCAGGGAGCAGCCGGATCGCGCCATGGATGCTCCCTAACCAGCCCCAAGCAGCACAAGGCAGCTCCTCACGGCCACGCGCGCCGCCGCGCAGCCTTCCCATAACACCCCATGTATTATTTATGTCCTGATTAATTGCTAAACCAAATGTGAATTAACGGCAACTGCAGAGTCTGAAGAAAAACGCCAAACAAGGCTGGGAATGAGAGGCTCCCTCTGAAGCCCTTAGTTTTGAGGGGGAGTTAATAACAGAGGATTCATTCTGCTGGTTTGTTTTTTTTCCCCTCAAGGAAAATAGAAAAGAAAGGAAACAGGAAGGACTATTGCAAATAAAAACAGGTATGCTAGGAAAAAAAAACCTACCAATTTCAATCCACTGACAGACAAGGATCAAACCAATACTCAGGACACAGTGTCAGGGCCGGGCTCCAAACAGCCCAATCCCAGGGAGAATTTTGCCACCTATAACTAAAGATGTAATAAAGGAAACCAGGCAATGCTCACTTGAATACATTTACAGGAGCGGCAGAAGCAAACACAAGATATTTCAGGGAACGCATCTCATTTTCTTAGATGCTAAGAGAAAATGAGGGCGAGCTGCACGTTTGCTCGGAGAAGGAGGGACAGCAAGCGCAGGGGTGCAGAACCCCCCAAGTCCTTCAGCGTTGTCCCCAGCCCGGCGGGAAGCCGGGGCGAAGCAGCTCTTCCCTGTGCACGATGCTCTCCGGGCAGAGGCAGCCCTTCACTCCTGCTCAAACACAGTTTTAGCAGCGCAGCAGCCCCGTGATAACTGGCTTTTGGGGGCTGTGCAGCTCTCATTTTTCCTGTCCAGCTCTGCATTACTAACGTGACCTGTCAGAGGGACTTGAACAGAAAGAGCAGCATTAACGTGCACTTGCACTTTATTACATTGCTCGCATTGCTCATAAATCCCACCCTTTTCTCCTGCCCATCCAACCCGCTCAGCGTGTGCCGCAGTGGGGGCCACCTCGCACCCCGGCCTTGCGGGACACGCAGCACCAGGGCTCCCAGCGCTATATAAATAACCAGAACAAATGAGAAGTGATATCCCAAATAAATCACTTGGCAGGAAGGAGCCAGCCGCACATTCCCCAAGGCTGATCAAAATGGCACTGGTGGGCTGCTCTGTGACAGGGGAACGGGCAAAAGCAGCAAAACTAAGAGCACGGATGAGGTTATAGCACAGAAGCCGGGTCTGCCCAGGGCTCCTTTAAGCTTCTCCTTCCTTAGGATCCATGTGGTGACCAACTCGCAGACCCGTGGTCTAAAGACCCGACCTTTTCAAGCCATCTGGCCGCTTCTTGCACCGTTTTGGTTCCTGGTAAGGCGGCAGGGGACACGAGGTTCGCGCTGCGGGCCGGACGCTGCCCCTCGGGGACCCTCGCTGCACATTCCTGCCCCTGCCACGCTCGAGGACACGCAAAGACGACACCCGCTCGTCACGGACCGAGCCGCGGCTCAGCCACCAGCGGGGTGGCACGCGCAGAGGGCAGCACCCCGCGTGGCAGGCTCCCAGAGGAGAGGCATGAACAAAAGCCCGGGAATTCAGCGGGATTTACTGCAGCCTCACTGGTAACGGCACGGCCGGGGGCAGCAGGATATCTGCGGTTAGCCACGTGGCTTGTCACCCTTGTCACCGTCACTGCCCGCAGCAGTGTCCCCAGGGCGGCAGGGACACCGCAGGGACCGCGTGTGAAGCCACCAGCCTTCAATGTGTGTCTGTATGAGGTGAAGGACGAGCCCCCGCTCACCCTGCGCTACTGGGGGCTCCTTTGTGGGCAGCAGGAACCCATCGGGCATCTCCCCCGCTCAGCACAAGCGGAAACGGAGGGAGGTTTTGGTGACATACTGATCCATTTAAAGAGCCACTTATATGGCAACCCATTCCAGAAAAGAGTGGCCATTAATCCTGTGTGTGATATATGTCTGATGGGAAAAGGGAAAAAAAAAAAAAGAGGGAAGAGGGAAGAGGGGTAGCAGAGAAGTCCTGTCCTCTCTGAGCAGCCCATCAAGACGGGCCCGGACACTGAGCCGAGCAGAGCAGCAGGGCTACGAAGCACCCAGCCTGGCTAATGGGATGTGCCGCACGTGTGCCAAGCCGCACCGGAGACCAGGGCATCCTCAGCACCCCCAGCCTGGTTCCTGCAGGCAAGCTGGACTTCGAGAGCAAGTTACAGCTCAATTAGACCTGCAAATATTCAAGCGAAAACTGAATTTCCTCCTTCATAGCCCAGTGGAGGAGAATCGCAGAAGCATCAATAAATCATTATCCCCTCTCTCCTTGCTAATAACTCGAGCAAACAAAGGTTTTCCCCGGGGCCACCTGCCAATTTCCTCCCATCCCGCTGTGCGGACGGTGGCTCCGCACGTGACAAGGGCAGGGACGGGCCGCGGATGCTCCCGCGGCGCCAGGAACGTGTGCTGTCCCCGAGGCCAGGGACGCTGTCCAAGGCCACCCCCAAGGCAGGCCCCCGTGCACGGCCGAGCCGGGCTGGGGCCACCTCCAGCAGCACCTTCCCGCCGTGCTCATCCCCGCGCGGAGCCGCGGCCGCTCACACGAGTCGCACAGAAGGACGTGCTCGCCAGCCTGCAGCAATGACACCTCGCAGGAAGGCAGCTGCCACACGAGCGGGTTGGCAGGCCGGCGGCACGGCGGGGACGTGCTCCTCAGGGACCAAAGCAGCCCATTGACACAGGGCAGAGCTTCCCTGGCCTCCGCGGGGGGCTGCTGCCAGCAAACCGCAGCATTCCCCTGTTTTTAGTGCCGGGAGGCCTCCCCTCCCGCGGCGCCCGTCACCGCGGCCTCGCGGCGGCTCCGCGACAAAGCACAGAGCGCGGTTTGTCTCGGCGCACAGAGGGGCATTGAGGCAGCCGTGCCCACGGGCACAAGCCGCCCGTGTGTGTCCCCAGGCACCGCGCGGCTGCGGACCGACCCCCGCGGCAGCCCCGCACACAGCGGCGGCCGGGCACGGCCAGGGCCGCGGTGGCACCGGGAGCCAGCACCAGCTCCCTTCCCAGGGCACACACACGCCGGGTTTGGCTTTTTCCGCTTTGCCTTTGGAAATTCCGCTCCTTTCTCCTGGCCTTTCTGCAGCCCCTATCGGGATTTTTCGTCCCCGGGCTGTGGGCTGAGCGACATGCATTAAGGTGTGCTCGCCAGCGCGGAGATACCGTGCCCTGCAGCACCAGAGAGAGCGATAAAAACACCACTAGACAAAGAGCGAGCGGGCTGCTTGTGGAGCACAAGGGATGCGCAAGGCTGCAGAGCGGCGGCAGCCTCCCGTGCTCGGCAGGCAGCGAACAAAGACGCGCCGAGTGATCCTGACAAAGAGGCAGCCCCGGAGCCGCTCCGGCGCCCGCGGGGCCCGCACGCTCCTCGCGTGGCACCGGCTGCCGGCTCGGTGCTGACGGCACCCAAACACACCGCGCGCGTGGATGAAAACGACTGAAACTAAAACTAAAGGTAGTCCGGGGCGTTCATTAATGTAGAGACTATGAACCAGGATATATAAAGGAGGAAGGAAAGTGGCTGGAGTCTCATACAACCAATTATTCTGGAAATTTTCACCTATTAGGAATAAAAGTCACAAAAAAACAAACAAGGGAAACATCTTTGCAGGTCTTTGCATGGTCATCCTGAATCTTCCCCCTTCTCAGCAGGATTTAGGACAGCTCCTAGAACTCCTCACACTCAGTTACCACAAATCAAAAGTACATTAAGGATAACCAAAACCGCAGCTAACTGGAACCTCTCCGGGCAGGTGACAAGATGACCGTCTCGGGCAGTATTTGTTTCAATCAAATCAGCAAAGATGTGGCGTGAAACGGGCTCTGCAGACAAACTTGCTTGCTAAGTATTGGAAAGACAAGGACAAGAGATGGAGCCCAAGAGATGAACAAGTCTGTGAGACCACGCAAGCTCCTGCCTCCTCTTTTGGCATGCCTAGAAGGTTTATTTTTCTCTTCTAAGCTATTTTTATCGAAGAGACTGTAGCGTAATGCTGTGACATGAGAAGCAGGACTGAGAAATTCAAAATTCTGTGGCTCTCAAGAGAACTGCTCTCCCCACCTATACCCTGCAGCACGTGAGCACATTTTAGCACATCAGAACTGAATCAGTGAAGTTT